GTGACCCCTGCTCTAGATATTATTATACTTCTCGTCTCAATGCTATCTCTACATTAGTTTCCTTTCCTCTACTATCCTCTGGATGCATTCTGCTGTCTGGCCCCGCCCCTTATGGGGTGACACGTCCTGACGTTTTTCCACGTCGCAGCTCTGCCTCAATCAGGCGAACCTGCTGCGTGTGCATGCGCGTCTCCAGCTAGGCCAGAGAGTGATGGCGGCGCCCGTCCTGAGAGTGTCCACCCCTCGGTGGGAAAGAATAGCCCGGCTCCTCGTCTGCCTGCTGGGTATTCTGCTTTCTCTGTATGCGTTTCACGTCGAGAGGGAAAAGGCCCAGGACCCGACTTATAAGGCCATGTGCGACGTCAGTAGCTCCATCAGCTGCTCTAAAGTGTTCAGCTCCAGGTAATTTGAATTCAGCAAAGAGCGCCTTCTGTGGTGCTCAATGAAGCTGGCTGCTATTATGGCAATCTGGGAAGGGTCGCGCGCTCTAACGCTGTCAAAAGGACTCGGCTAATGTTTGACTGCTGCTCTGAGAGGCGGAGGCTTAGCTATAAAAGTTATATTTTCACTGCAGGGATGCCGATAGATATTTTTAGGACCTATAACTTTAGGAATAAGCTCACTGTTTTTAAATAAGCACAACATTAGCTATTTAGCTTGACAAAGCTAACGATGCTAACCATTAGCCGGCAGGCTAAGTTACGTTCATTTGGCTTTATTTTTGGAGAAGAAATCTGTTAATTTGAATTTAATTGTTGTAGTTTAGCAACAGTAGGTGAATCTACGAAACTTCAGCTGCTCCAGAAGAGTCTTGAGGTGATAGATGAGCTTTTCTGATTGCTGTTACTGGTGAATTAAACTGGGAAATCCTGTGGTTTAACTTTTTCATATGGCTCTATTTCATGAGTTGTTTTTTTTTTTACTTTTTCCACGAGGATAACATTTTTTAAAGTAAAGATTTAAATGTGATTTAAAAAGGTTTATTTTACCTTAAAAAAAGTACATATTTACATGTTATGACTGAGCTGTGGATTTATAACAGAGTTTAATTGAAAAGAAAATAGATGAAAACAAACAGACCTGCATTTAATTTACAAGAGGACTTTTATAATTTAAAAAATACTATATTCCTATACTACTTTAGCACTACCGTTAAAACATTTTTTTTCCAAGGTTAAACGTGTTTAAAATGTGATATTACAAGGCATATTTCACATAAGTAAATAATTGTACAAATGTATTTGTTTTGACTGAGCAGATTTTGTATAACAAGCAAACATTAAAACAAACAGGAAAAGAAACAAAGTTGGCAAAACGAACAGTCTTTACATTTAAAAGTGAGCTTTCATATTTATATGAAATTCTTGATATAATGCAATACTATTCGGGGTTTTTGTTACAAACGATTAACGCTTCTTTAACGATTTCCTGAAATTTACGGCCTCCACTTTAGCGCCTTGGCATTGGTGCTAACTGTCCCCATCTACCCTGAACCCTTACAGGGACCCTGAACATATCAGACACTGCTGCCAGTTCCTCATGCGGTCTCAGGTCAACTGATAAGCCTGATGCTACAACAAATAGGCTTTGTTTTGTTTCTGAATGGTGTAGATTGGCTTTAATCATCTAATCAGTTTGATTTAAGATTACACACATCAACCAGTGTTCCCATCTCTTTTAAACAATAGTAAATAAAGAGCAGGTATGGATCGGAAGGTGCAGACAGGAGTGTAAATGCCACTAAAAATATAGCAGCAAAAACTGATTGTAACATGCAAATAAAAACACAGATAAACTGAACATGTTTTAGTTCCTGCTGATGTATCTAAGAAGATTGAATATACATTTTGAGAAAATTCAAGGACAGTTTTATTGGCTTTTATCTAATTATTGTAGTTGGTCCAAAACCTGCCCTCTTGTATTGATCTTTTTTTTTCATCAGACCCTCCATGATGATGTATATATATTTTTTTATGGAACTTGTTTTTATGTACCAAATATGGCATTGCATTTCTGTAATTTTTAATTTTTTTACTCATCACTGGCCATAAACTAAGCATGTATAGTCTTGTAAAAGTCTTGGTCTAACAAGTTTTGATACAAGCGGATCCAGATCCAGCAAAACAGTCCAAATGAAAGTCAAATTTAATACGATGATCTTAGTTATTTTTGGAAAACCTACAGATGGGAAAAATCAACTTAATAAATGTTTCTTAAATATACAAAACAGAAAAATCTCTGCACTGGAAATCATTACTGTTTGACTTATTTTTTTGTATAAAATAATCTAATAAGCTCATATTTTGTTCATTTAAAAAATCTGTTTTGTTATAAACATGTTTAATATTATTTAAATAAACACGTTCTTGTGTATTTAGTCAGTATTTAATAAACAAGCACATTAAATAGTTAAGTAATGACGATGTAATTTTTCATTTAAACTTGAAAAGTAAAAAAAAACCTAAATTTTATAGAAAAATCCTCGTGATAGCAATAAAAACTTAGGTTTTTAATAAAGTTGCTACTTATCATTTAGTTGATCAATAAGTTTAAACATCTATAGATTAGATTCATAGTCAGGAGCCATCTTAAGTTGCCACATTGGGTATAAAAAATGAAGAAAACCTGCCTGATGGATAAAAGGTCATGAGGAAGTACAATGTCCCTGGAATGTTGGCCGTTTAGGACCTGTCGTCGCTTTGTTTGAGGATGGCTTAAACTATGAGTAGAATTGGTAGTGATAATTTACAGCTAAAAAAGAACATCGGTTTATTTCCTGATCAGCCAAACATTTATATAGAAAAACTTTAGAGCAGATGACTTAGGCAGCTTTTATAGTTGTGTGAGTAATGATTAATGATCTGGAAAGAGATTCCCATATTATCGAAACGTTGACTCGACATACTGCAGTTTCCTTTTGTGATTTTGTTTTATTTTTTTTATTATTTTTATATAAAATAAAAACTAAAGATTTTTTTTCCTCTGGCAAATTAATGTGTATACTAGTTTGTTTGTATTGACACACAAACTTGACTGAAATGCAGATAAACACACTGAATTTAATAGGTGCATATTAAATACAACTTTTCTTCATTTTACACTTAATAGAATAACACTTTAAGTCTAACAATATATATTATTCAGTAAATAAGTCAACCAGCATGCAGATTAGACACGTGTTTCTTGTGAAGATTTGAAAATAGTTTTAGCTTAATGGAATAATGAAATGCTAAATTCATGACTATTGGCTTTTTAATACAAAAAGTCAAACTATAATCTGTATCTATGTTTTTTTGTAAGTGAAAGAAAAGTGAAGTAGCCTCCCCCCCCCTTTTTTTTAAAAGCCAACTAACTAACAGTGCAACTGGAAAAAAACTCATGATTTTTGGGTTTTTAGTTAAAAGCTGTTTTGAAACATTAATATAACTTGATGCTGTTAATCTGCACATAAATCACAGTAATTGACATAAAGAAAACACTCAGTGTTTTGATTGGTATAAATAAACTGATTAAACTTCTAGTAATGTTCTAGCATGTTTTCTATATTTGATAATTGTTTGTTTCTTTAATCGAGAATTAATTTGGTTCTTTGAAAGATGACTTATGATAAACTGGAATAAATTTGGGAAAGTGCTATCTGGGAAAATCTATAGTTAAAGCTCTTTTGTCACATTTGAAATTGCAGACTTGAATATAATTCAATTAACTAATAATAATATTAGCGTAGGGCATAAGGAGATATAAAAAATGGATATAAAAAGGTTGACATATTAAGACAAAATATCAGACTAGTTTGCTTGAGTTGAGCACTAAAAAAAGAGTAGGATTTAAACAAACCCATAACGCATGTCTCAATGGTGATACCCTGAGTCCTTTTAGAATAACGTGAGATATTAAGCTTAGTAATGATGTTTCATTCATGGTCTATCGTCAGACTGTAATTCAAGAAAACCAGACTCAGCCGAATTTGATGGAGCTTCCCTACAACACCAAACTTCCTCTCCCAGTATAGCTGGGGCATAAATGCTGAGGCTGTGCACTAATTTAACTGCATTTTTTATGGTTTTTGTTTCGATAAATCAGCAACTACAGCTTTTGTCTGATATCCTATAAAATGCACGATATGCTTGTTATAGCTAGCGGCTATTCTGAGCACAAGGGTTAGTGTGGAGCTCTGGTTTTCTGACTGGCAGCTGGCATAAATTAGAAGTTGGTTGTCATTCTGGATAAGCATCACACATTGAGCTGGGATATAAAACCTACTTTCTGACAGATTACTGCTCGATCTGGGCCCCAGCTTAAAGAGAAGGGCATTTAGGAATATTTTTGGATGAAGCTTAGACAACTGTGAAGTGTCTCTATAGAACCTGCTAGCAATAAGGGACACAACAAATATTTCCTTGTTATTTCCTATATGCTTTGGGCAGAGGAGAAACAAAACCTGCAAAGTTCAGCAAGTGCTGCCATTTTGGAAGAAATCTGAACATGCTAAACGGCTATGGAGGACCTAGAGAGTTACTGAAAAAGCAAACCAGCTAATCTAAAATTAACATTTAAATCAGACAATTTGAAAAGCATAATTTGATAAAAAAAAAAAAAAAAAAAATTCAAAACACTCTTTATTGGTTAGACTGCCACAAACGGTTCACAAAATGACCAATAAGGGAGCTGGTTACATCTGAGCAGCAACTCTGATTGGTTAAACTGGTAATGAGTAATAACATATATAATTTAATAAGCAATGAATTACTTATGAAAGACTGAAATTTGAAAATGAAAATACGTTTTCAAATTCCAGTATTGAATAAGTGGTTAATAAATACAAGTTTCTTCTTCTATTCTCTTTAAAAATTAAATTCAAAGTGCGTAATTAGAAAATGCTTTTCAAACTGCATGGATTAAATGTTAAATTTGAAATGGTTTGTTTTCTTTTTCACTGACTCTCTAGTTTCTCCTGGAACGGCATGTTTCGACTGATCATGAAATGCTGCAAGGCCTTAAGAGTTTTCCAAGAAACAACTTTTATCTCAAATTCCTTGAAGTGAAAGCAATAAAATCCATCTTTGAACACAAAACGAACACAGAAGCTTTAAATGGCAGCACCAATGGCTGTCAGAGAGGAAAAGTGTTGAGGTTCTCGATTGAACAACTTAATCTGTCTGTAGTTTTGCTCTCTAAGAATACAGGATTCCCTCATTGGAAGGACCTGTTTTATTAACTGCCTCATTTATAGTTCCGATGATACAAAAATCAGATTTGTTAGATTGCTGTGTTTGAATGAAACTCTTTGTTCTTGGCGTTTTTTTCCTGGTTTAGGTGGGGTCGAGGTTTCGGACTGTTGGGGTCCATATTTGGGAACGACAGCGCACTGAACCAACCCAACAGTGTCTACGGGATACTCTTTTATGCCTTTCAGCTCCTACTAGGTAAGATGCAGCGTTGGTAGATGTGAGCTGTGTGTGTATACTGCATATGTAGCTTCAGATAGCACCAGTTCATCTAAATACCCAGCTAAACTTGACATCATTTTGGGATGATATTGGGTCACACTGCAGCTGAGCAATGATTCTGCTCTTGTTCTACTTGTTGAAACATGAACGCTTCCTGCTGAACGCTCAGTTATGCTGGTAGACTTGCCCGGTCACCTGGGCTTGCCACCAAGCATTAAGCCACACGGCTGACTTTTCATTTGACTAACACAGCAGCAGCCCGGTTAAACCAAACTGTCAGGATTTCCATAAGGCGATACAAACTTTGAATAGTTTCAGCTCCAGTGGGAAGTAAGCAGCACCTTGGCATCTAACTTTATAACATGTTATGTAGTGGCTTTGATTTATATAAACAGTTTTCTATGAGAGTCGCCAATACACAACAGGGCAATCTTATAAAGCACAGAGAAAATGAAACATGGCTTCAAAAATCATTACAAACATGAATCTGAAAGGTGCTGTGGGTACAATAGCAAGTCTCAGCTTTTGTATCCATATAGGGTAATAATTTTGCCCTTTCTTTTGTTGAAAATAGCTCAAGCTCCGTTGGCTGATCAGATTTAGGTCTGGGCTTAAAATAAACTATTATTTGAAAGGATTGTGTTGATAAAGCCAGGCTGTTTCAGTCTTTCTAGAAAAGTTGGCTAAGAGGGCTTCTCTTTCTCTCTGGACTGGTCCAACCAGATCGCTTCCCCATTCCGTGGTAGTTGGAACGATGGCGCTCTGTGAGATGCCCTTATCTTAGGGTGTTGCTTTCTTTTATTGCCTAGAACAAAATGTAAAGCTTTTTTCATATAATTACCACTAAATCTGTCTGGATTGTTCCCTGGACTCCATGTTTGTTCCCTGACAAACCTCTGAGGCCGTCACAGACATGTTGGATTTATACTGAGTTTAATTTGAAGTCAGACTTCTACCAAAAGGGCAGACAAGCAGTTTTAATTAGAAAAAACACATGTAAGGTAGTCTACATGCTTAAAGATTCAAAACATTGAGGTCCCTAATATTTGACACGCATATTAGGGAAGGAGCATGAGTTCCTGGTCCTTCTCTGCTCTTGGTTTTTATGTGTCTGTAGATTCTCTCCTACTGGCTTCTGTGCTCTCGCCGAATTTTGTCCCATGATGAGAAAGTAAACTGCCTGTGATTGGTTGCTTTTCAGGAAATCCTGCCTCTTAAAGCAGTTCTCTCTTCCTGGTTGCGGCTGGAAGTTTTAGCACAGCATCCTCAGTACCTTCTGTTTGACCCTTGAAGACAGTTTGTTCCTTTGGATTCTATTTAGAACATTCAGATTAAAGCGGATTGAATATAAAAAGCACACCACACTTTTCAGTTTTTTGTCTGTAAAATATTATCCATGACATTCATAATTATACACCACCCTGTGTTTGTCCATCATATAGAGTTATAATAACCCTGATCGTTAAAGGGGGCTTTAAAAATTGTGCTGTAAACCCAGAAATGTGTAAAACGCGGCTTTAGGGACGGATCAAGTCTGTGAATGAGACATTGTGCTGCTCCTGTGAGGGATCTTTGTTAACAAATACGCGTCACAGAATCGATGATCAGGACATTTTTTGTGAAACCACTTGTTTAATTTATTAACCTTTGACGTCTGTCAGTTTTTCTTTTCACTGTAAAGGCTTGGTTTGTTTACAGTTGATGTTGTGGTCCCACACAGGCTGTTTATGGTAGACCCTTAAGGTTAAGGAGGCTTATTGTTACTGACGAGGTGAAAAAAACATGATAGAAAATGTAATTTCCAACTGTCTCATGAAGCCCAAACACTGAGAAAACTCTGTGATGAAACTCCATGTGATGCCAGCACAATATGACCAGTCTGCTGAGCAGTAGAAGGTGAATGTCATCACGAGGAGGTGCTTGGTATGAAAGGAGAACTGTCTGATCCACGGCGAAAACCCAGACTCATCAGCTTTGCTTGTGCAAGTTGTTTTTTTTTTCTTTTTTCTCTCCTGCTCAGCTAAGCTTCAGTTTGTGTCTCTCGCCATAGGAATGACCGTCAGCGCAATGGCTGCCCTTTTTCTCATGACGACGTCCATCTTGTCGGTGATGGGCTCGCTCTACCTGGGCTACATCCTCTACTTTGTCCTAAAGGACTTCTGCGTCATCTGCATCACCACGTATGCGCTGAACTTCATTCTGTTTATCCTCAACTACAAGCGACTGGTTTACTTGAACGAGGCCTGGAAGCAGAAGCTTCAAGCCAAGCAGGACTGAGCTGCACAGAGAGTCACGGTTTAAAAAAAGAAGCAAAAATAAAAAAGAAAACCTGACGACAACAACAACAAAACAAAAGAAAACAACAAACAGTGAACGTGACCTCTGAACATTTGACTTGCCACCAGGAGACCTTGCTTCCAAACAATGTTTATTTCTGCTGTGTGTTAAAAAAATGAAGAAATTTAACTTAAATGTTGGGCTTAACATCTCAATATTGATTGCTAACACTGAAGGATTTGTAAGTGAAAGATGGTTTTTGTTCTTTTAATCCCCTCCCTTCCCTGTTTAACCACTCAGTGGTTGGCCCAGCTGCCTGAATTTCAGCAGGTGGGAAACACAGCCGCCTAAGGAAGCCCTCATGGCACGCACCAAATGGAGGACCCTTTCAACGACAAAAAAACTGGATCGTAGAAAAGAAGATAAAAGGACATTAAATGGTATAGTTGGAATTAGTAGAGATCATCTGTACTAAAGTGCTGAGCAAAGGTCCCCAAGTCCAAACAAAACACATCTGGTTGCCGTTTAGTCTGCAGATAAGGTCTTACAGCAGGTTGAGAAGAGGATGATGCAATGATTACCGTTTATAAAGAATCGTTTGTTTTGTTTCTTTTTTCCATGTTTACACTTCGTAGTACATTTCTTTTTATTGATGAGGACCACTAAAATAAACATGGGACATTGTGAGATGATTTGTGTAGATCAGTACGTTTGTTTGTTTTATTTCTGCAATTGTGTAAATAGCTGCTGAGCAATATTCAGGGCTTGGTTTGGAGGAAAAAAACTGAGCTGCAGATGAAAATCCAATCAACAGGAAGACGGTGGTAGATGTGGAAGATCGCTAATCGAGATCGGGAAGTGCTGGTCGGGCACATGGGTCAGGAGGATCTTTGTTTATATATGGAGATAATTACACCAGAAACAGATCTGCAGGTTATTTTCACAGGTTGCTCAAAGGCACCCTCACTACCTTTTTTTGTTTTGTTTTTTTACGTGTGTGTAAGAAGCATTCCTAACCACCTCACAGGGTGGGATCCATTAAGACTTATGTGCCTATAGGAGTTTTAAGGTGAATTACCTTCCATTTTTCCTAAGTGTTTTACTTTTTTGGGGGGGTTAAATACTGACACAGAGGTTTTTGTTTATATCGGTTTTATCGTCTTGGTGACGTCGTTCCATTTGTTTTTGTAAATGAGGAGCCAAGGCGTGGGCCGGGATGGGATTCTCACTATCTGACAAGCTTGACTAAATATAACACAATGTTGTGATTTTCACAGTGTTAATTGTGCAAATTATCCTTTTTTTGTCTTTTGCAGAGTAAGCAGATAATAGGTGGTTAACCGGTCAGGCTGTTTGAGTTTTGCCAACTTTTTAGAGCTAAACAGTGTTACTTTAAGGTCTGTGGCCCGGGCTACTTTAGTGATCAAACCCTGAATGTCAATTATTTCAGAACAAACTTCTCTCCTTTAAAACAAAAGTTACATTCAAAATGGTGCAGCAACAAGAGGGGGAGGGGTAATGCTGCTACTTTTTACAGCATCTCAAGGAAATTAATTTAAACCACAGGAGGGTTAAATTTGCAGATGATTACATATTTTTGACGTTCCGGCCTTTAGATGGTAACAAACGTAAAGAAGCTAGCGTGCTAGTCTGGCTATCTACTCAGCTAGCTGGGATGACATAAAGTAGCTTCTAACTGCTCCTTTAATTTCACATTTATGTTGTTTTTGCAACCAGAAATATTTTATTTTTTAATGGTAACTGATTGGCAATGGACAGCAGCATGTAGGGGAGGGTCAATTGGGAGGGTTGCATTATTCTATGCCCAATATATTCAGAGAAGGTTTTAAAAAAAAAGAAAAAAACTCTCTCTGGTGTCTATTTAAAATGGACCTAAAGTGGGAAGACTGAGAGGGACACTTCCTGGTACAGCTGGATCCCCGTACCCGGCCCATGCCTGCAGGAAGCCACCGAAGTGTTTGCCCTCTTGTTTTCCTAGAGGTAGCAAAAGGCTGCTACACTGTGATCGTCTGCTCAAGGGGGTAGAGCTTCCAGCTGGCTCAGGAGTCTTAAAGTCTGGCGGATGCACTAAATACTGCTTGTGTTTGGCGTAACTTTGGTGTCTGTTGGGGGAATCATGGGTTACATGGAGAAAAAAAAAAAGCTGGTGCACTGTTGATGTAAACTCATGCGTTTTTTAAGAGAACTAAATGTGGCGTTAAGCCATATGTGTATTTCTGTTTTGTTCTGATGAGACAACAGAGTCCCTCACCGTTTTTTTCTTTTTTTTGTTTCTTTAAACCTCACCAGGTTTTAGATCAAACAACGGGTCGAAGCAGAATCAGACTGCTCTACGGAGAAAGCCCATGTAGCTTGTAGAAAGATTTAAATTCTTCCAGCCAGGATTCATCCTTTTTTTTTTTTTTTTTTCTTATTCTATGGCCGTAACCCAGTTGGACACTTTCAAAGATCTGTAACCTGTCACTGTAATAAATGTAATGGTCTGACTCATCTGTGGTAATAAACCATCTCGCCTATGGTCCCCTTTCTTAGTACGATTTGCATCCTGTTGTAAATGAAGGGAGCGTTTAAGTGCTGATAACTGTTGAACTGTGCTTCTAGAGATAAATCAATCCCGGCACGTTTCCATTGCTCATGTCGGTTCATGTTGACCATTTTCCAAGGCAGACCTCTAATCTCTTTCCTCCTTTACATTCCAGGCAGCCGTTCTTTTCTCTGCTGACCATTATCCGATTATTACTTATGAAAAGGCATGGGCTGCCATGGACTTTAACTGGAGTAACTTTGACTAAAAACCCCACAGCTTCATTTAACTCAAAGCACATGTGTAATGTTTTATTACTGCAGTCTTGATGTAACTAACTCAGGTGTCTTCCATAGTTTTAAAGAGTGAGATTTGATTTCAATCAATTAATAATTTCCAGATTATCTTATTCTACTGAAAAATGTAAATATAAAGAAATTCTGGTATTTTTTTTTTTTGCATCAGTTTATACTTAAATGATGACATATTCGGCTTGCCACAACTTGAGCGTTTGTCTTTTCAGTCAAGTGAGATTTATTTTTTATCACCAGATAAAATGCATTTAAGACCAAAATCGTGCATCCCATTGGATCTTTTGCCTCTATATCATGTTGGATTCATATTAGGCCTGAAGCTAACAATTATCTTGCCAATCAATTGGTCTGTTGATTAATAATCAGGTTCCTTACAGAAGATTTGTTTACAGAATGAAACCAGGTCAAACTAAAACTTCACTTGAGTTCTGGGTTGACAGATTATGTTTTTTTTTTCTAAAATCAAAGGATTTTAATGAATAAAGGAGAATCCAGTTCATGTTTTCAGCATTATCCTTCCATCTTCTCCCACTTAGTCTTTGTCAGAGTCACAGTGGGGCCCGTGCCTATCTCCGGCACTAGGCTAGAGGCACTATACATTATGGACAGGTTGCCAGTCTGTCACTTGGCAACCAGCGACTAACAAAGACACACAACCATGCACTCACACACACACCCCTAAGGAGAATTTAGAGAGGCATTTTAACCTAAGTCATGTTTTTAGACTGTGGGAGGAAGCCAGAGTACCTGGAGAGAACACGCGCATGCACAGGGAGAATATGCTAACTCCATGCAGAAAGACCCTGGGCCGGGAATCTAACCAATAACCTTGCTGCAAAGCAGCAGTGCTACCCACTGTGTCACCGTGCAGCCTGTTTTCCGCATCATGCCAATGCTAAACATTATGCTAAACATGCTAAACTAGCCCTTGTCCACAATGCTAAATGAGAAGCTAGCTTTAGTGCTGTGTTATGATTGGTTAGGGAGAAATGGAGAGGATAAAGGTGATCTGATTGGCTTCTCGGATGTCCTTTAATGTGACATCACTGCCAAAATGCAAACATTGTAAGAACACTGTTAAAGACAATTTCGATATGCAGACTAAAGCGAAAATATACCAGCTAAATTTAATAGTAACATACAGACTGGAAGGTACACCAGTGAGCTAGGCCATCTGCTCTGGTAGCCAGCCTGCAAAGGAGTTGGTTGTTTCCACAACTTCCTAAAATATTTCTTTCATGTGAGGGATTTGTTTAGGGCTGAAACAATCGGATTAATCATAATTAATCCAATAATTTAAATATTTGTCAACTAATTTAGAAACTGACTGTTAAACATGCCTTTAGCTGACAGAGCGGCCAACTTAATTAGACCTCTAATATCAAAATCATAAAAGAAATATGTAAACAGGTTGTATTTAAGATAAAAAAACTTTTTTGTCTCTCAGTATGTTCAATCCAGAACTCCTCAAGTGGAAAAGTTTTCATTTAGTAAAAAATCTTTAAGGAACCTTTTGCTATCAGATTATGAATTGATTAATTGAAGATTAATAGATTTACAAAATAATCATTAGTTGCAGCCCTAGATTTGTTAGTAGCCTTGTTTCAGCCCACAGTACCCTGCATCATGTGTTTCTCTTTACAGCTGGAGAAAAAAAATCAGCTAATCTGACACTTTCCCTTCTGCTGCATTTAAAATGGCTTTAAATTTAAGGATTGGTTCGACGTCGAATTGGGGCACTTTTGGAATTTAACTTTTCCAAATCTCTATGCTGATAACCAGCCCATCTCTGTTTTGTATAGTTCAAGTCTCACAGTCTGGGACTCGTTTTTGAAGCATTGAAATGAATGGGAACCAACAGCTGCTCAGAAAAGAAAGGTTCCAGGTTAAAATTGGTTTCCTTTCAGTCCCTGCTTGGCAAACATCGGATGTAATAAAACATCTCGTCTTTTACGAGGAATGAGCTCATCCCAAGTGTCCTGTATCCCCCCCCCCTTCAGAAGGACTGTCTTTTTCTTTTAACCCAAATCAAACTGACATTAAGCTGCCAGGTTCTGCTAGGAACCAGATATGGGTCTGGTGAGGTTTACACAGACCTGGCAGTGCTGATCGTGCTGCACTTAAAAGCGACTTTTTAGGAAATGAGTTTGAGTTAAACATAAAGGATCGCTTTGTTTATAGAATAATTGATGTCAGAACAATTTCTTTTTTTTTTTCTTCCATATTTTATTAATATTAATTTAATCCCTGAGGTATAACTGCCATGTTAGTTACATCACTAATGCCAACAAATGTGCCTTCTGTTTGATCACCCGGC